GGGGAGAAGAAGGGGAAAGAAGGAGGGGGGGGGGGGGGGGGGGGGGGGGGGGGATATTAAATTGGCTTGAGGAAGGGAGGGTTGAAGATGAGAATGCACTGAAATGAGCTGGATCAAACAAAAAATAGCACTTCAAGAATGGCGGAGGAAGATAGCTGTACACTGATGTAAAGGAGGCGGCACCGTGGGAGCAGCACCTCAACACTGATTTCGCTGTAGTGCCACAGATTTCAGCAATTTGGACCCGCTCCAAAATGAGTGGCCCCATGCGGCCTTCATTCCAAACCAAACCAGTGGTAGCGCAACACAAGAGGAGAGAAAGAGATCAAAAAGAAAGAGGCAGATAAACAGAGAGAGAAAGAAAGAGCGGGGGGAATGAGCTTAAGGGAGTGAAAATATGCCAGGAATTGCATTGAACTAATCCAAGTGCACATACAGCTCTATATTATATATAATAAACAATTGTAAAGCTGCCTTAGAACGAGGCATATTAAGAGAATATAATAGTACACAGACTGTTCTCACATCAGTATATAAAACATATTTCTTCATAGTCTCAGTTTTGTTGCTGTTTCACTTTTTAATATATTTCTAGTGTTTGAATTCATGAGTTCAGATAAATACATTTTGTTGCTTTTATTATGTGTCTCTGTCAGCTTGGTGTGGGTGTCGTGCACGGCTAGTGAGGTTAAGTGTCTGGATTTACCGACACATTAACTGGAAAGATTGATTCTCCTTTTTGCAGGACAACGACCTGAATGGTCGAGTCAATTTTCGCCACTGCAGAGCTCGCCGGCTCTGTTTGAATCAATTCTGTAACCTTTCTGAAAGTGGGTGCATGTGTCGAAATGTGCGTCTGTACTGCAGGACATTAAATCCCTCTGTATTACCATCTGTATCTGTGTGCGTGCATCTGGTTTCCACTCACCAGCTCGATGAGCTCCTGGTAGCACACCTGTCCCTCTTCATTGCTCTGGACCAGGGCTAACAGCATGTCCAGTTTGGACGGGTCCAGCTGCAGCTCATGGTGCTCCACCAAGCTGGTGAAGTTCTCCACTGCGATGAAACCGGTGTTATCTGGGTCCAGCTGGAAAAACAAAAGCCCACTCTCAGACCATTGGGATAAATTTTAAAAAAACGACATCGCTGATAACGCATGTATTGAAGATATTGTTTCAGTTATGCATCATTTTTAATAGCGAGCAGCACTGCAGAGATGAAGTGCCAGCTTGCCCTGAGGGAGAATGCATCAGTGCGAGACAGCTGAGACGTATACACAGAAACATAATACATAAAAGATACTCATGAAGACAAATGAAAAGCTGCAAGACTGAAGGCATGAGCTCAGACATTGACACCAGTAATAATTAAGCTGTGCTGCCTCTAAGATGCCTTTGAAAGAATTAGACCTGCCTAAAGAGAAAAACCCCATTCAACCTCATTAAAGGAGCAGGTCTGTCAAAGCAAACAGCGGGATGGTTGTTGTTGTTGGGAGCAGCGAGGGAGAGACAGGCGGCCCCGTCATTCTAATATATAGTGACCTGCAGTTCCCCCGAAAACAGAAATCCCTCAGCATTAAATGCGGTTCGACTTCTCAGTGTTCGTTTCTGAGTGGATGCTTCATTTGACTGTGTGAGTCCCGACCCTGGTCACATTTGTAGCATATAGTCAGTGCGGTTTTTCTTAATCACCACTCACTCACTGAGACCCACAGCCCCATGGGTTATTACTGCTGATGTCTGTATGCCAGCGCTGCTCCCCCGTAATTGATTTAAGCGGGAGAGTGTCATAAAAATGGCTGAGTGTAGTTGTCTAAAATAGTGCCTGCTTAAAAATGGCTTGTAAAGTATAGGGTGTGTATCTATGTATGGTTTGTATAATATGTTTTTTGGGGGGCAGCAGCTTCACATGCTTATTACTTGATTTTTCTTCCCTCACCCTCTCCTTCTCCTCCTCTTAAATACAGTCAATTGCTCTGCAATGGAGTGTTAATTTCTCATGCCAGCTCTCCTTAGTACATCTGATTGTGCTTGTGAAAATGCGCCAGAGGACAATCTGTAGCAGTACAAAGAGACCACATGGGAGGAGCCCTTGCTGCTTCTCATTTTACTGTTTCCTGAATGCTAACACTGCCTCATTAGGTTTCAGATAGTAAACCAACAGCTTCTTCTTGTTGCCCCAGGGAGGAGTGAGCTTTCAGATGTTGCGTCAGTGTGGAGTCAGTCGTGTTGGATCATCGTTGCCCGTGTCATGAGTCCACGAGGCGAATCATGTCTAGGCCGCCTTAGTCTGGACCTGGCCCGCTCTGACATTGTTAGACAAAAGCCTTTCACTGGCTGCATGTGGAGAGCGACATTAAACTACGCTGCGGCGTGTCTCTCCCTACTGCAGGAGGCTCAAGGCTTAGAGCTCCACTGCTCAACTGAGGAGCTATAGGGATCAACCCGGGAATCCATTGGTGTGAGTGTGCATCTCCTTCTGAACAAGTTTACTTCATGTGCTCTGCTTCCCCCCTACACTGTCTCCAGTTTCGCCACCCCCGGTCATTTAGTTGAACACAAGCATCCTTCTTTTTTTAATCAGATTTTTTAACTCCACTGAAAATGTATGTATGTATTCACCTGGAAGAGCACAGCCAAGGCAGGAACTAATTGGTTAGTTTTATGATGCTTGACTGCATTTATGAGTGTTTTCTCACTGCTGGTTGAAGCAGTGAAGCAATTTTGTTAGTTTTGATACTTTAACATACTTTCCGAACATCGACATGACTCAACAGCATAAAAACTGTTGTTGTAATCCGTATTAATCAAGATTATGTACACACACACACACACAACCATTGTTTCCCCCTGGGCATATACTGATTACACTGAATGGCAAAATCCATACAATACTCAAGACCTCCCTCTTCGTCATTGTCCCTCACACATCTCCATATAATCTCAGCACTCTGCTCCTGAGTCAGACAGCCAGCAGTGTTAAGGCAGACAAGCAAATTTGTGAACAAAAATGGACCCAGATGAAAAAGAAAACGGGCCCAGCTCTATTTTTAGATAATCCCCTTAACTGTGTGTTTCCATGGACGTTTGTTAAAACACACTCTGTTCTCCTCTTCAAGCTTGAGGCAAAATGGTGCAGATATGGCTAGCATTTGTGACGTGTTGGGCACCAGGATGACATGTGGGGATACGTGGGAGTCGGGGAAGCACATAAAAAAAACAAAAAACAGCAGAGAGGGTAGGTCGGTTGATAAAATATAAGAAATGAAAAATGATTAGGTTGAGGGAGAAGGAGGAGAATGTATGAATAGAGAGACGAGAAGAACAGAGACAGCCAGAAATGAAACAAGGACGCACAGAGAATAAAAATGCCTCGCCACTGTCTGTTATTCTGTGCGTCTGCCTAACCCAGCAGTCGGGCTCTTCTTCTCTTTTCTATAGGAGGGATGTGACACACTCCAGTGCTCTGCATCCACTTGCCACAGAGGGGAGATAGATCAGATTCTAATGTGCTCCTGGCTCAGCCCGGGCTGATGGAGGGAACAGAGGGCCACACTGGGGACGTCTGATTACCGTCAGCCACCATATGTCAGCACATCGCTACACGTAGAGCAGCAGCGCAGACACAGAGCCGCACCGTATATGGTCGTACGCGTTGACGCAAACCAAGTGTTGACGCCGAGCTGTCATACCGCACAGATACTACTCCCTCCACGGTCTGACCGTATTCAGGAAGAACGCTACACAGGGGAGACTGTCTGCCGAGGATACAGGGAGGTGGAGGATTGGTTCTTGTAGCCAATTAGGGTTATCAATTAGCGAGATGAGGTACACTGAGATGAATGAGTGTTGGCAAGAAGAGCCTGTTTTTTTGTTTTTTTTCCTGGGCCGGCTGATGACGTGCACGAGCAAGGGGGGAGACCGAGGGAAGAAAGGGTTGGAAGAAGGAGGGAAAAGGCACTGAGCGGGAAGCAGTTATTGAAGCGATCCAACACTAGTGAGGGCAACACTTTGACAAGCTGTATGCGTTGCCATGGTTACCAGTCGCCCGTGTGTCCTCCCTTTCTTGCATTCCTCCCCCCCCCTTTTTTTCCCCGACATATTGGAGTTCTAGAGGCAAAGGAAAGACACAAACGGGGGGAGAGAAAGAGACGATGAAAGGAGAAAAGGGTACAGAGCAGAAGGAAAAATAGATTACAGACGGATGAGAAGAGACCAATGAGATAAGAATGAAACGGTAATAAGGTGTAGATGTCAAGTGAGGCGGGGCGAGAGATTAGGGATGGAAGGTGATGGTGTTGGTCAGAGAGAGTAACCGAACCTGGCTGGCGGAAGGAGATGGACAAGACATGGGAAAAAAATGTATACACAAGTACGAGGAAGAGGGCAAAGAGGAGTAAAATGCTGACTGCAGGAGAATAATCTTACTGTTTAACCCCCGGGACCTCTATTACCTCCACCTCAGGCTCAGACTGACCCCAGCCTGCACAGGGGCTCAAGAATGAATCCTCCAGCCTGGGAACAAACTACAAAGCCCAGCCATGACAGACTTCTAATCAGTGGGCTGAAGCACAGCCAGTTCTATCGTCCTCCCTGCAGAAGACTGACACACAACCAGGACAAGGCCCTCTGACTGTGGCACAAGCGAATTGCTACCTAAAACGGTGGACATATCATATGAGGCAGAGAGTACAGCAGAGATGGTTAAGATTCCAATGGTCACACTTTGCATGCATTCCCCTTAATTATCAGCCAACTCAAGATGGAACAGTTTGATCTGTTTTATTAGTTTTGTTTACTATACATAAATTATTTGATGTTGAAAGTGAAATTGCTTGGAAGGTTGATAGTTGTTGATTGAACGGTATCTACTTATAACTTCCGCGAGGTGGAAATTTAGCACCAGCACTGGTAAGGTTCTCACTAACTAACCCTGTGGCACAGAGCCAGTATTACAGACTACTCTGACCCCTGTGAACAAGACTGTCAAGCTTGAACAGGGCTGTGTGTATGCAGAGGGCAGTGGCATTTACAGGGCAGAGCATATTTGCATGACGTCAGATAAAAACCCTTTTGATTTGTGTCTGGTGCCCTCAAGACTCACTGGTGTTCACCAACAACTGGGCCACTGACTGTAATTATCACAATTTATGTTCTGCCCTGCTGTTACCGTCATTATGCTCAAATTTGACCACTGTGGCCGTAAGATCTAAACCACTCTCTCCTCAAGTGGAGACTGCTGTAGCGAGACACCGAGGGGATTTTCCTTGATGCAAACAATCATCCGACTCCATTTCCTGGCGTTTAGACACAGTACAAACAGCCAGAGGCGTCTTCAAACACAGCTCAATGTACATTAGCGTCAGAGAATGATGAAAGGGGACAGTGTATAAGAGCCTTATTCTCTACTCGACATAAATATGTCAAAATATTCAGAGCCATAAAGTCCTTATGGTCGAGATATAAACAAGCCAAATAAAAACTGAATGACACATGGAGAGGTATTCACCAATGGTGGAGCACTTAGTGCTGCCGACCATCAGTGGCGCTGCAATAGAAAGACTGTCAGAGGAACTGCGTCTGTGTGCGTGCTCTGATCATGAGCATATGTGTGAGTCTGCATCGGCCAGAAATAGCCTGAGCTCAGCATTGCAACCTCCTGCAGACAAAGACTAATAAAAAAAAACTCACTCATGTTGCTATTATTGCTTTCTCCTTCTCTCCCCCCCTGCAGCATTTATTTGTGGTTCTGTATGACAACAAGGCTGCAATATCTCCTCTCCTTTATACCTGCAGTGCACGTATAAACTAAGCATGCCCCGTTTTCTTTTGGAGCAAAACATCCTAATTGAGGTATATTCCTGAAATGTTCCTTTTACAAATGGCTGAATCTGAGATGCCCTCAAGCAAAGCCCTTGACCTCCAGGTGCTCTTGTGGATTTGCTTAGAGGCGGCGGGACTCTGTGGTCGTTGTGCAGCGCCTCCAGTGAACGGGACTATTTAAAATCTGGTGGCCAGAACTGCAAAAAAAAAAAAAAAAGAGGCATACTCTGCAAAAATATTTTCCAGGATAAAGATGAGCAAAAAGTGCCAAATGTTTAGACAGGCAGCAGGCTTTGCTAAAAACAAGCATGCCTGTTCACAGTCCAAATGCTGTTGGCAGATTTCACTTCATTGTACTTCAATTAGAGAGACCGTTTCCAAATCAAAGGCCGCCGCATGGACTCCCAAAAGGTGGAAAAGGCTTGTCGTCAGCCAGTGTGAGTGATTTGGTCTAGACCGCAGTTTGTCATCACACTGGCGCAAGCAGAGTAAACCCCACAATCAATAAAACAACCAGCCGTTTACAACGTGGACGTATTGGCTTCATCTCGCGCCCAAAGACCTGCTACACCGAAAATGGATATTGACACAGATGAGTCAGCCTCTTTGATGAAGGAAGATGCGTTGTTGAGGTATCACTAACTAGTTGTTATCACTTAAGTGTTAGTACGTGACTCACCAGTGTGACCATAGAGCATCTTCTCACTCAACCCACACGGGTTTCCTCCACTAGTATAAAAACACACACACATTCATAAAAAAGCAACTGTGCACATGATCGCAGACACACACACAGACGTCTCCCTAAAGGCTCTTGAGCATGTTGATCAATGTGTTGCTGATGGGCCACTAGTGACCCCTAAACCCAGCAGCAGATAATTGATTCCTCCCTAGTGGACAGAATGATTGCCCAATCTCTCTGTCAATCAGCTAAAATCCCCATCCATCAAAAACACCAGACAGAATGCAAGATTGCATTAAATGCAAGACATGAAATAGAGCTGGAGACACACACACACACACACGTCTTCAGGAAGCGCTAGCCAAATATAGATATTGTTTTCTGCTTTCAAATCCATACTGGTCTGTTCATTTTGGAGACAGTAGACCAAACCTTAACTCAAACATAGATCTGACTGGACAGTAAAAACAGCAGTTTGGGTATAGGACTCCAGATGTCAAGAGGAACATTTTTCAATGGCCTGAATATGACCACTAACGCTGTGTTTTCAACAGCAGGGCTGAAAAAGAAGAAACAAGTTTAAAGCCAAATAACAGCTTCTATTCTAGAAGAAAACCGTGACCCGTGACCTGGTCTTCACAGGAACCGCCTCGTTGTTTGACCCCTTGAAACAAAAAAAACGGAGTAATCTTGCAATCTTTGGTTCTTGTGACCCTGAGATGAGAAGATTGTGGATGTGGTCAGCATAGAAAACGCACAAGGAAACACATTCACAGGTACAGACACACACACACCGTACACACGCGCATACAGCAGCATTTCTACAAACGCTAATGCAGCAGCTGTAATGGACCAGTCACAATTTTTGTGGCATTCCTCAAATGGAGAATGCTCCAATCAATCCATCTGTACATCCATTCACACAGCATATCCTCTATTTGCACACAGACACACACACCCCTTCCCCCCCCTCCTTCCCATAAGCCATGATCTGACCTCACATTCTCTGGGCCCACATGGCTCCATGATGCTTGCGTCCGGCATGTTGTCTCACGCTCTCATTTCGCTCGTGCAAACAGCCCCTGCTATCAATCGTAACATCAGCTCTCACCCCAGCCTCCACGTCTCACTCCCTGGACAGACGACGAGGTGGCCGGGAGCCCGTAACCATAGAAACCTCTGCCGCTGCCTGCTCACTCGCTTACCTGCTCTTGTATGAGCTGAAACAGGGAGCTTCTATCCATATACTGGCCAGGGAGGTGAAAGGAGCCGCCGAGGACAAGGGCATAGGGAGGAGCGAGAGAGGAGGAGTGGTGGTGGTAGTGGTGTTAAGGATGGGGGTAAGGTGGAGGGGGATTTGGTTGAGGTAGCAGCTGGTGCCTAAAATTTTAACGCCAGGCCCCTTTCGTAGCTGCTGTGTCCCCCCCCCTTGATGATGGAGAAAGCCTGGTGAGCCCTCTCCCTGGTTTTCTTCCGTGCTGGTGGTGTCGCTGGAGTAAGAACCGGTGCTGTGTGGCTCCGTGTTGGTGCCGAGAGTGTGGACGGTGGTGGTGCAAATGGGCCGTGACTCTGCTCTGTGCCAGTGCAGCGTGGCGCGGCGGCAAAACCCAGCTTCAGCAGACGACAGGCAGGCAGGCAGGCAAGGCAGATCCAGCAGCTCTCATTCACTCTCCTCCTCCTCCTCCTCGCTCTCCTCTATCCCATTGCACTGACTGCTACCTCTCTCTCTCTCTTCCCCTTCCTCATACACACACACACACACTGCGCTGCCTGCATACCAATGAGGCAGGGGAGGGAGGTGGCCACTCTTTTCCAATTGGAAAAGGGGAGGGAGTGGCCATGGGCTGCGGCTCCTCTCTTCACTACAAGTAAGGCGTCTCAGGGGATGGGCTCCACTGCGGCTTTGCGCTTACTACTGGCACCAGAACCCCCCACACCCCCACACAAACACACAAACACACACACACATGTCTGGTCTGTTACTGACAGGCATGCAGACGCAAACCCACACACTGTAAACAAGACAAAAGCTACTAAAACGCAGGCATATGGTGAAATCCTAACCATGTGTTAATTTAAGGGGCTACAGAAGACAAAGGAGATGAATAGCAGAAGAGACAACATGAAAACTACTTGTGAAATCAATAGCACTGCCGGTGCACAAAGAAAACTATAGACTGCTCTGCAACCCTTTACATCTCTGTGCTAATTATAAGCACTGGCACATTAGCGCATTGTATGCCCTGCTGCACAATCAAGCAAACTGCCACCCCCAACACACATGCACAAACATAAAATTGAATTAGAGACTGTTTGGATGGCTCAATGATCCTCCAATGAATACCACCACGACAATAACACAAGACCACAATCCTCAATATAATACTTCTTTATAAGTAATTAGAGAAAAAAGGGCTTTTATTTTGTTAATCTGATGCAAAATGAAGAGACTGGCATGCAGGGAGCAGAGCGAGAGGGTCAGAATATACGAATGATTGAAAGGAACGTGTTACTGCTCATGTGGGGCGGTGGGCAATTGTTGTGCTTGATTTCATTGAAATCCACTTAAAAAGGTGTTTTGCACAAATCCGCAGTGACCCCTCCTACTCAGGACAATGGCTATGAGGGGGAGGGAGCAGCGCTGGGACGTGAATCTTACCTCATAAATAAGTGAAAGATCCTTAAATGCCCTGGAGCTTATTGTAGCTGAAGACGTCGTCGGGGTTGAGACCTGGTGACGACTTCAGCCTACATTGAGGCAGGAGTGTTTCTCGTCTTTTCAACTCTTCCCTGTCAGATTCACCACCAGCAGTGTAACTCAGCCTCTGGCTCGGTTACAAACTGTGCCTCTGCCTGTTTAAGTGCCATTATTGCACCAGATGTTTGGGCTTTCATTTTCTTACAGGCAGGAAGGCTTATAAATCCTTCTTGATGCGAGAACAACTGAGGCTGCTGACTATATGGAGCCACGAGTAACTGCTTTGTTTTTCCTAATGGATTGGGCCAAGGCCAAGTGAACATGGAAGAGCTCCCAGACTTTAAGTTCAAACAAAACCTTAATAATGACCGTCCAAGTCTATGGCAACATCAGGACGGATGTCACTCCACGTGGGTCTTTTTTCAACGACTAATCAATGTTCAGATTTGTCCACAATACTCTGGAGTTGTGAGCATGAATGAGACAAATCAAATTATAAGGTCAGTGCTGGAGAATCTGCAAACTGCCATAAGTGAGACAGATTGAAAGAGCAGCCAAAGTGGAGTGAAAATGAATGCAACAGTTGCCTTGGTAACCTCACGACTCCCATCAAAAGAGTGATGGACTAAAGTAGCATGAACTAAAGAAAAGACTCCGGTGCAGTAAGAAAATAAAGCAGAAAACCCTGCAGAGAAGAAACACCCAGGCACTACCATATGTACGACTGAAGAATACGCTGAATTCATTATGACAGTATATGAGCTGCATACGTAACATCAGCACAACACTGTTTTGGCTCGATGCAGGTACACAACATTCCCAAATACATGCATAGGATGCCAACTCGGCTCACAGCCCCACCATGGGTCACTCCAGCATCCAGTATCATTGTTTCCATTAAAACTGCTACCAAATGACATTATCCGGATGACTGACAGAGCGAGATAAGCCTCCGGTGAAATACAGTCTCTGCTGCCCGAAGCGTCCCCAAACTGAATGGCCTCCCTTGAGCCTGACTAAACCCTTCATGTTCCATTCACCCCTGGTGGATGGATGCAGACGGCAGAATGAATTCAGGCAGCTTGCTCCTCCTCTTTAACAAGGCCTGAGCAGCAGCAGCAGACAAAACACTGCTTCTCTGCGAGAGCAGGGAGAGAATAACAAGGTCTTTCAGGGAGGCAGAAGGGCACATTAATTAGACCGCCAATCTGCACTCTTCCTCACCATCTTAATGGCCTTAAAGGTCCACAAGGCAGGTGTTTATTTATTGGTGTCTGTGTGTGTGGATAGTTGTGTTTCTGTCAGTGAAACGGATGGTAAGGAGCTAGAAATGCATGCATTAAAAAGGTCTGAGTTCAGTGTGTCTTCATTTGCCAGGTTTTTAAGCACGAGGGTTCATGTACACTCATTCATACAGCGGTCGCCTCATGTACAACACTTACCGTATGTGTATGGAAACTGTCCGGATTTGTTTATGTGCACAATAAGCTCCTCTAACTTTACAGTCCAAAGGATGGCTTGCAAACTGAACTTTCCACCAGGATTTAATCACCGTTTGTGGTACATTTCTGCTGCACCAAAACTTTAGTAAAAGGCTTGGTCCGCCTTTAACTTGCATGAACTTCAGCCCTGGTGCTCAGTCTAGTTTTAGAGATGTCAACTAAAAGAAAACGCTCTGTGGTGTATTCAATTTTGATTGTTCAGCATTGACAAGAGTTTTTTTTAAGGGTAGCTGTCACATCTGAAAATACAAAGTGGCAACCTTATAGGACTTGATCAAAGTTCAAATCTAGATGGTTTGAGTCTAGAATAGTACACCTCCTAATTATGGAATTATTCTAAGATGCAGATACTGTACTATTAAATGCATAAATGGTTAGAAGCAACATTTTATAATAACAGTTACATGTAATTTTTAAGCAATTATACTATTATATCTCAGCATACTTTAAATACTATGCAGAAGGCAGATGTCTCTGCGTGTTAATTAAGAGCTCATACCTTAACCCCCTGTGATCTCGCTGGAGTTGAGGACAAATTGCCTTTTGTGTTTCATTGCCCTTATGTACATCTACCTAACAAGTCTGCTAGTTGAAAAAAAGGAGTTAAATAATCCAAATTTATTTTGGTCGTCTAAAGGCGATATGTTGAGTTGTCTTTTAAGGGAGGAGATTTTGGTTTTGTTTTCATAGCACAGCAGCTAAGCTATGACAATGCAATGCAGCTTAGACAGAGTGGATAAGTAGAGGATGTTAAGAAACTTGTATGGAATGATCCGTCATGTTTTGGTTGACTAGTGACTTTTAAGCCCATAAAACATTTGGTGCATGAGACTTAAATAAACTATCAATTACACAATATCTCACACATTTAGTGGCATACTGCTACAAGAAAATATATTCTTGTATACCTTGCTGAAGCTTATATTGGGCCAGAAGAATATATGTTGTGCTACAGAAAGCAATAACAAAACATTACCTCGTGAAAGCTGAATTAAACGGGTTGTTGCGATGGACCGACAGGAAACAGCCGCACGGGTTTATCAGGATGTTTCTGAGTGGACATGAGGATCACAGCATTACGGTGTTGCTCTATTGTTCTCTTAGCTGACCTTATCTTGTATAAATTAGGAAGACAAGTTGTTCTGGTGGCTGTCTGGAACCTGTTTATCTCAACTTATCACGTGAATTAAAATAGATGGTGCTTCACACTCGAGCCGCCAAAATGCCAAGCAGTAGGGATTGTGCAATAGAGGGAATCACCAAATGGCAGCAAAATGAATCAGGTCACAGAGTGACACAGTTTCAGTCCAAACTGCTCCACTTAGAAGATCTCTCGGGGACATAAAACGGAAGAAGCGAGGAAGGGGAAGCAGTGAGTTAGAGGAAGGAGGTTGAAAAGGGGAAAGAATTAAGAGGAGAAAGGGAACGCAAAAGGCAAACGTGTAAATAATAAAGGGTGTATTAACATTTCTGTAAAACTGTCATGATTTGAATTCATAAGCCTCATTTTCAGCCCCATTGCTGCAATATTAACATCTCGTACTGGGACAGGTCTGTCTCCAAAAACACCAATTGTTATTTCTGACATTCCGGTGTCACAGTGCCACTACAGCAGTTGAGCTGAGCCTCTGGAGTCTAAGTCTGGAGAGACCTCTGGTGTCTAAACGTGCAGTTGCATCCTAAATTGAGGGCCGCCCTGTTGGCCGACATCCACATTAACAAACCGCAGAGTATCAAAGAAATGCTGACAAACCGGTTATGATGTCTCACCTGACATAATCAGAGCTCATTACCCCTGTACTTTAACTAAGACCATGTTTAGGATAGGCCATAGATCGATAACATACCTACTGCGTACATGTACTCTACGGTTTACACACCTATTACTATCTACTATAACTCTTTGACTCAATAATATAGCCTTTGTGTGTGTAGCAGCGCTAATTCTGTTTAAGCCAAGTCCGAGGCAATAATGTTTGCAAATAACACAATTAATTCCTTGTATTGAAGCTGCTACTGCCCTCTGTTGGTAAACGCGGCTACGATCAGAAGTCACCAGTATACAGTATGAGGATTTTGCACAAAATACATCTGCCAGCTCTTATACATTTGGAAAATGTTGTACAAAGAGAGCATTACAACCTTAATTAAAGAACTATTTCAATCATTGTTTGGTATTTATAGTGCACAGCTTTGACGCAAAACTAAATAAACAAAGAAATTAAATACTCACGAAATAGTCATTTGTCATTGTGTCCAAAAAACTAAAGAGCGCTGATAGTTTAAATTCTTTTTTTTTAAAGAAGTATCACAATCATACTGAATTCTAGACATAATAGCTGACTCTGGTTTAGTGGCAGCCTGTTGCAGCAGCTTGTGTTATTCCTGTACTCTTCCTAAATCTCCAAGTATTAAAGGGGCAAGGGTTAAAGTCAGGATTAGGGCTAAATGTAGCATTCTTGTAATGTATCAGTGTCAAATTAGACGTTATAACTAGTGGGCAACACGGCACATGTGCAGCAACTTGGAAATAAAGCAGCAACTCTGCATTTTAGTTTTATCACTAATATGAACGTAATAACTGATCGACTGATTATCTTTAAATGGAGCGACTCCGTTTTAAAATCACCCTTTGACAAAACTGCCGCGTCATCTTGTAGCATGAGAGACAATGACAGTACAATACCTGTCAGAGTCATCTCTGCTGGGTTGACTGATAGACCACAGGTGCCCTGAAAAGACTGCGTCTAATGACAAGCCTGTCATGTGAGAGGCTGTTTGACAGCTGACATTGTGGAAACAGTTACCTGCTCTACATAATGAGATGAGGGAGGGTGGGGTGTGTGGGGTGGGGGGCGGGGTGGGGAGGGGGGGTGTTTGGAGCACGAGTGGTAAGCCATTCACAAAGAGAGCCTTGGTGTGGGCCAAACTGCCGGGCCTTCATTGGCTCGGCCGTGCAGCAGTCAACACAGCACTTGGCCGCCGACACCTGCTCACACATCCAAGTGTTGTCACAACTGTCGAAGCCCGATCATACCCGAACACTACCTCTACAGAGCACACTCACACCACAGCTGGCCCGAGGAAACGTGCATTAAAACCGCCAGTGTGTCAATGTCTTGTTCTCACTTTTGTTGTCTCAACATGGCATGCTGTTAGTTTAGAGCAAGTCTAATCATCAAAACTTGAATTATGTTAACCATGGCAGCGCAATGGGCAGCTGAAGTAAATGGTGTCCAGCTCAAGGGCCCAACTGGCACTTTAACACTGTACACGGGGATATATTGCTTACATATGCAAGCAGGAAAGCTGCAACTGGTCAAAGATGAAAAATACTTTTCCTATATTTTTGACAATTTTCTTGTGCCGATAAACTATACCTATATGCATTGTTCTGTATGTGTTTTATTTAAAGCGCTTTGCTAGAGTGGAACCAGTGTTACACCCTGTCACACGCAGATGACAGCAGAACCCAGTAAATGTTGATGAAAACACATTTGGTTTCCATTGAAATAATACATAGAAGTTGCGAAAAAAATCTATAACAAAAAAACAAACATCTAGTTTTGAGACTGATCTGTCAAAGTCATGCAACAGAATTATAAAACAATACACCAAATGGGTGAAAGAAATCTGCATCCTTAAAACAACAATGCTGCTCAGAATCCTATTGTATTGACTGGCTGAGTGAAACTTGATTTGGATGCAATCTCAGTTAATCAAAAAGCCATAAACTCTATACGAGTATGAGCAAAATACATATAAAGAATAAGTAAATTAGTTTGTAAAAGTGTAAAGAAACCCCCGAGGATTCATAGCAGGAAAAAGAGAAATGATCTAATCTTAAACCCGTCTCCAGACCGTCTTTTCTTGCAACCTGAGTAAATAAAAAAGATCTGATTTAATTTGACCTTATCTGACTTTCAAAGTCAGAGTAAACGAGCAAACAGTCCTCAGAAAGAATGCTTTTAATGGAGCACAATGTGATCATGTGTTGGACAGTTTTGGACCCAATACTGACCCACAGCCCTGATTTGGAGTACAGGAGGCCCTCAGTAGTGAAATTGTGGGTGATGTTACCCAGACTGCTTTGGGCCAGTGGCAGGACTGGGCTTAAGAAGGTTTTAGGCAGCTAAAATTACAAACTGGCATCGGATAAATTTAGAGATGCAACGCTAATGCAGTCCTGACAGGATGGTGTAGCTGTCTTCTGTAAATACATGCATACCTCCCACTCGACTCTCTCCAACTTCTGACAAATAAACCAGCACTGGGTTACGCATTATGTAAGTTGAACATTATTGCAAGTCAGACAAAACCCAATTATACAACTGTGAAGATCCCAGTGTGCTGGCAGCAGTAGGGAATGACTGGATGCACCAAAAGATGGAGTGAGGACTAATTTATGTCAATTAACTATTAAATGAATCAACTAATATTATCAGCTCTGCCCACGCCATAAAGGCACCAATTCTCAAAAATAAAAATAAAAAACACAGCAGGGTGTATTTCATTCTGGCAGGGACAATTCAAAAACAATCACGGAATAACTAAATCTAATTATCAGTCACCTATGAAACAGGGAGGCCTAATAAAATGCATAGGTCATTAAGTAACATCTCATTTTACTGATAATTACTTTGAAATGCGTTGGGCAGGGCTCGGGGGGTCCAGAGGACGTCCCTGTGTCAGCTAATAAAGGGAGTGGTCTAAGAGGGGGCGAGTCTGTGTTTGGCGGCTGCTTTTCAGCCCCGCTTCCTAAACGGGGCACAAGCGACCAAAAACACATCACAAACGGACAAACGGTGACAAAAACAACGGACCAATACCCTAAACCCCAAAATTGCCAAAACAAGCCGAAAGCTATAGTCGCGTAACACATGGCCCGAAAAGGCGTCGCAAACAATAGACATGTTGTTCATATTATCGCGGAGACACTGTGTATTTATAGCTATACGCATATAAGCAACGCACTGCGTGGTTTAATTGTGCTCCTCCCCTCTTTACTTGCGCCATACAAATATGTGTATTCGCTCCAGCGCTCCATTCACTTATTCATTCCTTCACCCTCAGTCATTTACTCTCCCTCCCTCCTTTATGCACTTGTGCTATGTAGTACAACTCACCCTTTCATCTACTCCCTCCCTGTGCCTCATGACAAAAAATCACGTATTCACTCACTCACTCCTCCCTCCCTCCCTCCTCGTTTTCACTCATTCAATCCCTGCCTGCTCACTAACTCACACCCACCCTCCATTTAAAACACGCACCAAAAAAAACAAAATACTCAGCCATCAACTCACTGTAAGGACACAGGTGGAGATAGAAGGGCAGAGGCACTGATGGTTTCCTCACAAGTGTAACTTCCTTTTTACACTATTTATCGGCTACAATATACACAGTACACAGGTAGGTTATATACCATTATGCCAACTAATACAGCTGATTGGGCATAATGTTATTTGAACAGTGAACCCTTCATTGCTTCAAGCAGTAGCCCACTGTAGTCTACACTAGAGGACCACCTCTTGGACAAACAGCCTGATATTACTTTGTACCATTGAGGATGGTGTGGACGAGGACAGAATTGGGATTTTTTTGTTATTTTAAAATAGTGTCCAATAACTCAGATAACCATTCCACAAAAGTCGGGGAAAAGCACTACTCCAGTGGCTGTGACTTTAGGAATCAAAATGGCGTTGCAGGGAGGGACACCAGACCTGATATTATAAGAATAAATAATACAGGAGAATTATATTAAACTTTGTAATTTGGGAGGTTTTTGTTGTTTAGGACCGGCTCCACAGACCCTCATGTAAATGAGGAAAGCCAAATGTCAAAGCTGTTATTGACTGTGGTCTGATGCGCCAGTTCCTGAACAAAAGAAAGCCATCACTGCGCCTTGTATTAAAAGGACTTTCGTTTCGGGTGCAGTCCCCCTTGCAGCTGGACTAACACCTGGTCACACAGCAGCCACTTGCACCACTATCCGAAATATGGTGATCCATTTTTGGATCTGGTATCAGAGTCCCTGATCTTTGGAGGTGTTGGCAACTTTCCTGACAATGGACCTCGAGTGGCGACTGCCATAGTGACAGCTATAAGCAATTCTGTCGAAAAATCAGCAAAAGCAGCAAACCTATCCATCGTATTCCACCCCACATAAACCCGTATCATCGTCCCAAGCGTCACCTGTAACTTAGATATCGTGACATATAATTTATAGCAGGTTTAACAGCAAATAATCTCGACCACGTCATTCAAAGTCAATGGCCGGACTGTGTTAGTTGGGAAAATGTATCGATGTATTAAAAGCAAAAACGAAAAGAGAATTCGACCGAACCGCGTGCATCCGCTTAAGCATAGATACAATTTCGATATGCATTGGTTGATTTTGCCCGAGGTTGCGTCTGTTTGGGTCAATTTAACGCGAATTGTGCAAAATTGTTCACAGCCCGCATTACTTCCAGCGGGTTTTCCTGGAATAAAAGTTGTTCGCCGCCGCGGATAAATTACAAAAAGTGTGTCCACGTGAAGCCCAATGTCTCTGCTATCAGCCGATGATGTTTTGTGGATCAGTACTCAGCCGTAGCTTTGATATTTGTCAGGAGTTGGAGGATGAAGAAACACAAACAGGACGGCGCCAGTTCCATGGAGTCCGCTAGATCAGCTGCTGGCAGTTGGTGTTCTCAATCACGTCCGCAGATAGGCTTCATAGGCTCACTGAGGCGCCTGTGGAATAAGACACTTAAGTGATCCGGTGCACTGACGCGTCACTCCGTGAGGACATTTATTTCATTCTTACTGTGACAGCAGTTAGTGTGGCATTGTCTGCCGACTCGGACTTTCTGGAAGAAAAGCTTTATTTCTGGCTGTGCGTATATATTTCTGTTTCTGACGCTCCGGTGTAGTCTGCTGAAATCACACCCCATTGGACTTTTTTTTTTCTTTTTGTTAACTAACTCCAAAGAAAAGTCACCATGGCAGAGACGTCGGCCACTCCAGCCAAAGCCAAAAAAGCAGGCAAGCCCAAGAAGCCTGCTTCTCATCCCAAATACTCGGAGATGATAAAAGCAGCCATCGCGCACGACGCCAGCCGGAACGGAGCGTCCCGGCAGTCCATCCAGAAGTACGTGAGGAAGACCTACAAGGTGGGCGAGAACGCCGATGTGCAGATTAAATTGGCCCTGAGGAGGATGGTGGCGGCAGGGAGCCTGCGCCACACCAGAGGCATCGGCGCGTCCGGATCCTTCAGGTGGGCCAAACCAGAGGACTCCAAAAAGTCAGTCAAGGCGCCGGCACCTGCCAAACCGAAGAAGGCAGTGAAGCCCTCCAAACCCAAAAAGGCGGCCAAGCCCAAGAAAGTGGCCAAGACGCCGGAAAAAACCAAGAAGGCACCTGTAAAGAAAGTGAAAAAGGTCGCGAAAAAGGCGACACCGGTGAAAGCCAAAAAGGCACCAGTCAAGAAAGCAAGCAAGGCAGTCAAGCCCAAGGCAAAACCAGCAAGGAGGGCAACCAAGCCCAAGGCAAAGTCACCCAAAAAGGGAGCCAAAACAGGCAAGAAGAAGTAGGACAATATCAGAGAGACAAAGTCACTGTAAATACTTAAGGAAATGTTTTCGTATATGTATTATTTTTGTAAGCTCTCATGCAAACGTATGCTGTTTTTACCAGTAGTTTCCTCTCCATTGCACTATAGCTTATAGATGCTGTAGACATAATTGTGAGCATTTTTTTTTTATTTGGCGTTAATAATGCTGTTCATTTCTATCCGATCCTTGGATTCATACTGGCTAGACTAGCGTCTTTCTGAAAAGGAAAAATGTACATACAGTTGAACTTACGAATAGTCATCGTTAGTGCACGCGGGGGGGCATACTGAAAATACGAATGTGACAATGGTGAGCATTGTTGAGCCTTTACAATGTACAGCCCATATAGGCAGTGGACGTCAGCAAGATTCTCCTAACGGCTCTATAGATGTCACTCAAGCTCCGTTCTGTATGTTTCCTCATGTTCAGACGACTCATACTATACAAACATCCCAACTGTGTTCAGTCGCTTTTAAAGACTGGTTTTACTGCAATTCAATAAACCTTTGTCATCTTCTACAAAATGTGTTGGCTCAACTTATTGCGCGCATTTTACGCGTGCGTAATTTGCTTGGTGAAGCAGTCAGAGGGATTTCTGTATTTTGAAGAATAATAGGTTTTATGTAATCTGCTTAATAGCCTGGAGACATTGTCGCCTATAGATATCAGACATGTTAACCAATTAAGGGCACTGCATGAAATTACAGCTATTGTACACCAAGCTGGTGCAGACAAAACCCACCCATGGAAGCTCCAATGCGAGGGATGGTGTTCTGTGGCAGAGGCTGATACACGTGGGTGGACATGTAAAACAGAAAACACTGACACTTAGACTACGCGTGTTAATATCATGCAAATTACCAGAATCGTGCACTCTGAATGATCTTTTCATGCTTTACCAACTAGTCATGGGGGCAGACAAGTACGTTGCAGAACACGCAGTGCTACGAAGTAAAAGCCTGTGTACCATAGATATTCCATGGTGAAATAAACGTGCACAAAAAGAAAAAATAGTCACTGAAAGTGATAGGACGGTGGTAAACAAGGTCAAGAGATTGAATTGCGGGGGGAATCCTCTGTTAAACTGGTCTGAACATTGTGTGCAGTCAAACTGCACCAAATACGGAAAATAAAGGTTAAAAAACAGCAGTTACTATTCTTTTCACCGTCTATTCTTGCACGTCTCTACTGTATCAGTGCGGCGGCTTTGCAGACACACCCAGCGCTCAATACTTGGCCTCTCACCTGACATGCAACACCGCCATCTAGTGGTGTCCTCCGAGAATCGACGACTCCTCTGGACTGCAGTTGGGACCGAGACGTCAGAAGCAGACTGGAGTCAAACTGATAAAAGTCAAGATCTCGACCTCTCTCTCTCTCTCTCTCGATCTCTCTCTCTCGCTGAAACTGGTCCGATATCAGCAAACTAACCGAGTAAAACTGATTCATGCCGAGTGATCAAAGCAATGCATCCACTCATCGAGGCATGGTATTGGTGTTGCGTCAGCATGGAGTATGTCGGACATATTACAATAAAGCACAATATTCATCTTTCATCCCATCATCCATAACGCCTTTTGGGCAAAAGCTCCCCATCCAGTCTCGTCTGGTCTTTTATTAAGCATCTAAATCAGTCTGTAAGAAAGACAGCAATGTTTTAAAAGTCACAGAAGTGTATTCTGCAGAAACACCAGGTCCCCGGCTAAATCAAGCAACAAAACACACACAAGATGACAGACTCATGTTGGAAAAACAATGCAATGGCAGATTATGCAAGAGTATATTAATAGAAAGAATAAAAAAAAAAAAAAAAAGAAAAAAAAAAAAAAAATCACAGATCATTAACTTATTTCAGTCTCAATCAAAATCAATGAATTCCATTTCAATGTGAACAGAAAGAAGCAGATTCATTTGACCAGATAATTAAGGTTTGCTTGGCCTCCTTTTGCCGCATAAAATATGTTCTGACTTTTTGCAGATGCATCAACAAACCACCATTCCTCTTCATGCACATCGCTCCCTGCCACAGCAGAGGAGCGGAGGCAGGCCTTACTGCTAAAAACATTCAAATATTTCATTTGTAGACATAACAATGTGCCTAAAGGGGAAAATAACATGCTTTTGACTACTCATTGCCGCTGGAGTTATTTGGCAAGTCAGATAAGAATATCTGACTTGCGTGGTCATTGCGTGACCATTGCGTGGCATGGTCAGAAGGAAGAGTGCAGTTCATAGGAGATATTCAGCAGCAGCTAGTCAGGATGTTTGCTCTTTATGCTGAGCTTTGGTTCTTCAGTCAAGTCAATTTGGCATTTTTATATTTTACGCTTAAGAAACACAGTATGTTTATAAAAACTCCCAAAACTCACCATTTACACCCAACACATAATTGAATACACGTTAGACGGGAATATCTTGGTGCATTTCCTACCCTTTGATAAAGCACCCGTTTGGATCTTAACAGTTCGTCGTGTGTCAATGCACCGAGCGGTGGCAGGCTGACTCCTGGACAATGTAAGGCAGAAAAAGCTGAGCACAGCAGCGCGGGGGAAGAATTTGAACACTTTGCTTCCAGTTTCCTTTGAAGTGTCGCAATCAACGGACTCGGAGGGAAGGACAAAGTGAAGAGGAGCAGAGATATGAAGAGTAAAACGATGCGGCGGGCTTTGAATCTGGTCTCTGATGTTTTTGCCTTCGTGGATGGATTGATGGAGCGTCAGGCTGCAGCCGATTGTTGATCATTTAAGTCTGGCGACGGCTCTGAAGACGGCAAAGCCTAGAACGGCAACCACAGCCGAGCCCAACGCCACTCTCAGCCAGAATGACGTGTTGCTCATGTTGGAACCATTCAGGTGTCTGGAATGGAGGGAAAAAAATAAGTTCAGTCACACAATGCAACACAACTAAAATCATGAGCAAAACGAATGCCTAGCTACCTACATCTCTACCGATCCCTGTTGTCAATGTTTTAAACATTCTACTGTAACTGATCTTTATATTTTCAATGTCTACGTACGGGTATACTGCTGCCCACGCGAGCCTTTTGTAGATGCTCTTGCTGGTGGAGTCGAGGAACAGGCTGGAGAAGGGCAGAGGTGGAGGCAGTTGGTGTTTATAACAGAACTCTGCTGGAGTCGTCCCGTGGAACTGCTTGACCTCAGGAAGGTCCACCTTGGAGGCGACCAGCACACACGGGATGTTGCTCTCCATGTAGTGTTGCTGAGGAAGAAATGGGATTAAGAGTAAAAAAAAAACAAAAAACGTCAGTTGAGAGAAAAGAGAATTTACCTCGTTTGCAAGTCGGTCATAATGAAATTCAAGTAAACCCTCATAGTAATACACAATACATGTAAACAAAGTCACTTTTATTCGAGCTCGTCATCGGTCCAAGCTAAAAATAAATCTCTGGTCCCTCTTTTCGCCATTGCTGTTCTTCCTCCGCAGTATTTTCTGCAACTAAACAACCAACTGCAGAGTGTGTAAAGTCTGCTTCCTGTTTACATGCACACGCCCAGTGTACGAGAGTGGTCATGTGATATGCGTTTTCAGGCGTTGTAGTGTGGACGGAAATTATAATCATAAACGGTGCTGAAGCGCTTGTGTGGACAGAAATGGTTTTCGTTTTAAAAAGGCCATTTTAAATGAAAATGTAGTCGGGTTGCTGTAGCCTGAGAGTAAGCCGGTAATACAGGACCTGTTAACATGGGGCCTATTATTCCACTAATAATCAGAGTAACAGACCAACACCATGTGTCTTCTGTACACACCTTGATCTGAGTAAATACTTCATTCATAAATAATAAGCTACAAGCAGCTCCGTCTCTCTTATTTGCCCATTCTGAAGTGCTGGATTCAACAGCACAAACTAAAAATGATAATTAATAAATTACATGCGTCTGTAATTGTGCCGTTACTCACCTTGTATATACTGGCACAATAGTCAAAGGAATGTGGGTCACTGGTGTCATACATGAGACACGCAACATCACAGTTGGCGTCTGACGCCTTCAGGAACTCGACCTCCACATCCACCTCATTGAGCTGCACAGGGAGGAGAAGTGTGCTTATGGTATTAATCAGGGTCAGAGGTTAAAGGTCAACATCAGGCTCAGGATGGGAGCTACTTACTATAAGGTACTTCTCCTGGTTGCTAACTTGGACAGTGTTTATGGCGTAGGGGGAAAAGGCACTGCTGGAATTTCTTTTATTCTGTAGAAGGCAAACAAATATTACAGGAAACCACCACCACTACCTAGCATTATTAAAAGTTAAGAGAAGAAGTTTTAATAATGCAAAGCTTCGTATTTACGGTTCCAGACTAGCAGATGGTGCCATACCACAACGTTGCGGCCCACAAAGGCCTGGAGGAAGGCGGTCTTGCCAGTCCCCCGCGGTCCGATCACCTTGCAGAGAAACACTGACCGCTGTGTCTGGCGTCTCTCCAGGTCCGCCTCTTTCTCCTGCGTTACTGCACATGTAAACAAGCAGAAACACTCAGTATGAACACAATGCTCAAACACACAGGGCATAACAACTAGGTTTAGAAATGAATGCAGGTACACATTACACCTGTGTAAGTGCAGTTTTAGGCAACACGACATTACAGATGGAAAGTCAGAGGAAAGGACTAATCGTCACAAGACATGTAGAGGATAAAACTTAAAAATAACTAAAATAAATAACTAAAAAGTTGACTCGGGAGAAACCAACTACAAAATAAATCACTAATGGGACAAAAACTGTCAAGTTTGGCTCGAAGGTGCTGCCACAGGGAAGTTAAATCAAGCCTGTATATTAACCATTTTAGGATATCTGGGACTTAGCTTTTATGTCGTCACTCTAAACTGTTCGACTTGACTCAACTATTCACACACACACACACCTGTGATTGCGGTGGTCTGGGACTCCTGCTCAGTGAGGATCGGGTAGCCGAGGTATCCTAGGTGCTCCAGGCAACGGTGGATGTCAAAGTACGCAGAGAGCCTGCGTGTGACGGGATTGACATACATGTGACTTTGAACTGTGCGGGACATACGTTGCTTATAAGTGCGCAAAAAGTGTAAAGCTAGTGCATGCAGTCACATTATATCATTAACGAGAGGCGAGAGACTTACGTCCACTGACAAAGGTAGCCGTGGTGAGAGATGTAGCCCTCGTCTGTGGTGGGGACAGTCATGTAGACCTCTGCACCCCACGGCATGTAAGGACACACGCAAAACAGGTTCCTAAGCTCTGCCGGTGACAGGGCAGAGTCTTTGTCCTGAGAGGGAAAAACAAGGAAACTCCTTAATTGCATGTGACATGGAGAAAACTAAGACAGGATTTGAAATACTTCCCCCTAATATATTCAACACATAACAATATTGTTTCAATGACATTTCTCACAACATTTAACTGTTACAGTTTACTGTCCAGTGGGACGTTGTGACCAAAGGCGACTAGGTTTGCTACTCACTTCATCGTACTTGTCGAACAGCCGCTGGAGGAACTGGTGACCTAAACGACTGAACTCTGTGGTGCAGCCGACTGGAACTCGTAGTCTGACAACAGAAAAACAACAGTTCGATATTTAGATACCTGAGCATTCCTAGCTAGTGCGTACACACATAAAGATAAAGCCAAATGGAAACAGAGAATCTGAGATAGATAGCAATGTAGAACCCACGGACACGGACCTTTATTCTCCAATAATATTACAATACAGCCTGTTGTAACACTAGTTATCAGCAGTATAGACATTTGCATCCGAGATGACGGATACAGTATGATGGTGCCGTGGACATACTCGGGGTAAAGGTAATCATCAGTCAGCTCAAGGTTGTCGTCGTAACCAAACATCCTGAGGATGGTCCACGTGGTTTCATGTCGGCCCCTCTGGATGAATAACGTATTCAGAAACAAGAAGCCTGAAATAGAAGACACACACACACACACACACACACAACACGTGGCCATTAGTTGAGTGTGGCCTTGCAACGACACCATTTAAAGTCGCATGTTGTCATTCGTGTCCGGCTGTTACCATTTAGGGTGAGGCCATTGTCCTGCACGCCGTCATTGGTGTTCTTCCAAACTACTGTCTTCACATCTTCTAAGGCTTGAGGTGCCAGAGGATTCCCGAAACAAGATTTCTACACATAAAGATAGATTTTCTTATATAGCGAACAAATGGCTTGTGTGCAAATAAGTGCTGAGAAGACATTATGTCAAGTGATTTGTCACCGTTACCTGAAAGCAGTTGAGTTCAGCGTCACTGAGGATGCGGTCATTGTCCTGGTCGGAAATGTAAAATATCCTGCTTAGGGCTCGGACACACAGTTGTTTCAGCTGGGGACAAAAATGTTATTATTAATCAACCAATCTTTTTCATGCACAGATGTAAATAAGTGGACAGAGAGAGAGAGAGACACGCTGACTCCACAGTGAGCATCACATCTGACCTGTTTGTCCTCGGGGTCATAAAGAGGAGCAGTGGGGTGAAGAACGGCCTTCTGTGCATAGTAGAACAGCTCGGAAATGTTTTTCAAGTTCTTTGCAGAACACTTGAAAGAGAAAGAACGGCAGAAAGAACACAGATACAATTATCCAAGCAATCTAAAAGGTTTAGATAAAGTGTGCATGTGGAAATATTTGTGTGTGCATGTCAACGCTACAGTTAGCGGGTGTAACCAGAGTGCAGTGATAAGCACACTGGATGCGTCTCACCTCAACACACGTCTCAATCTCAGAGAACTGGTTCATGATGGGAAGAATGGTTTCCATCGAGCTTCCACAGCGAAGATCAGACTTGTTTCCCACGAGGATGATGGGAACTCTGATTAAACACAAGGAGACAGGCTAACTCTCAATAAAACAGGTTATTTTTTAAACAGAGGCTTTCCTGTAAATCAGTACTCATTCAACCGGAGTGGACTGCGTGCAGGGTCTTATTCTGGACAATTTAGCTACAAATTCCCAGATTACCAAGTTTGCCAACATTACATGCAAACAGTAAGGAAGAGTGCAAAGTTCATTGGCACAGAAGAGCTAAGGTAACACACACCCATCGACAGCATACAAACATACTTGTTCCCTTTCTCTGCGTCACCGTTAACTAAAGGTATCCATTTAGTTTTGATCTGAAAAAAAAAAACAAGAGGCAGAAACAAGTGCAATTTGTATTTTAAATGCATTTAGTAATTGTAATGTACAGTATGTGGAAAGCTTGTACAGTACGAGACAATATATACCAGTTAGCAGGTTACTACCTTGTCTATTGTTTCCTCATTGGTGACATCATACACTACACACACCACATTAGCCTGTGTGGGTTAGAGAAAGAACAGCTGTGAGGGACCGTATGCCAAAAACAGGATTCACAGGATTCAATAAACCTTGAATACATTTATAATAAAATGCTACTAAAACGAAACAAAGACATCCATTTATATGGCTTTAAGGTTGTTATTCTTAATCAGGGGTGGCACAGCATTGCTCAACATTATTCCAGCCCAATGGAATCCTTCAGTGCATCTGGTTTTGATCTCATTTGTTAAATCAGATGGTGTTCAGTATGTTCATTGGTGGTGTAAGGTGTACTTACCTTGACGATCTCATTTCTAAGGATTTCATCACTCTGCTCTTTTTCTGTTAAAGACAGACACAAACATATCAAAGTCAAGATACTCAGACCTTTATGTTTCAACAAACCCCACACCCACCCACCCACCCACCCACACACACACACACACACACACACACACACACACACACACACACACTTTTACAGTGCGTGTCTTAATGTGCAACAAGCATAGAGACCAGTCAGAGGAATGAATAGCGGTGGTCCTCCGCATTACCTGAGTAGTCCACTATATGTGTGGGCACCTTCTCTGGAGTCACGTCAGCAGGGATGGTGATCTCTTCAGCTCTGGAGGGAACCTTTCAGAGATCGCAGACAAATTGTCAACCATCACTTAATCAGGATAACACAAACACACACTTTCCATAAGCCATAAGCTGAAATGCTGGGCAAATTTCATTTTTGGGGGAAAAAAACAGTAGTGCAAAATGTATTCGTCATTATACCATAATGTATGATATAGAACATTTCTCCATGCATTCTGGTGTACCTACAATAGTATACATTTACCAGCAATTGTACTTAAACTAAAAGAAGCTAAAAGTCACACAGAAACACTACCAGTGGCCACATAGTACAGAGCAGAACGAGTTGATTTGAACATGTCAAACAAAGCACAAACATGCTGCAAAAGCCACAATATGTTGCAAAAGCCCACGTTAGATTCAACCTTTCTAGTGAAGTATAAACTCCAGGGCGACCACTTTGGATTTTTATCATATTGAGCAATATATTGGAATTGTTGAGTGTATGAAACAAACTTAAAATAATTGTTTTTGAAACACAGCAGAGGTGAATAGTTACACTGAGACTTTTACCTCCTCTGGGAATTCTTCTCCAACCAAAGACATGATGAGGGATGTCTTCCCCACCTTGGCTGTTGGAGGAGACAACATGAAGTGAAGGAGAGAAGCTGCCAGAGAAAGACTCTAGGATCCTTATTTGACTTGTGTGGTGAAGTGATCGCACTTCCTGTAAAAGGACATCAATCAGCTACTAGCAAGTTAGCCATAACTATTCTTTATTATATAGGGTGTAATAGTGCTACTCGTTAATATGGCATGTAGTTAGTAAACACTATCGTATTGCAACTATACAGTTGAGTCTACAGCCACAGAAAATGTCATTGATACACATACAGAACATACGATAACAGTCATACTGTACCGTTACCCACTATATACAGCTAGCTAGCTAATGGTAAAAGTGTCACTTTCAGTAAAGCATGGTCATATGTTTAGTTAAGAGATGTAATGTTGGCGTTAGTTTATAAAGCAATTGTCTGACTGCAGCTTCCGTTAACGTTATATTTAAAGTTAGCGTTAGTTTGCTAACATGTCGATGCTCAGACTCACAGAGAACTTTTAAAATAAGACAAGTGTATTTATTGTGTAATGCGGCTTTATGTTATCTCACGGAAACAAAAATCACGTTTACTAACTTCTGTTCGGCTGCTAAGTTAAGCTAACTAAGTTAGCGTTAAGTTACTAAATTAGCTAACCGTTCACAACTTCAAACTAAAGTTACTCTGAGCTAAATTAGCATAGCGGAAAGTAGCGTTTGGAAAGCGACCACTTAGTAGAAAACATATATATTAGTGCAGACATAAATGTCCCTGTTATCTCCACCATGCCACCAGGAGTAGCCAACATAAATCCAGCTACAAGTTCGTAAGTTAGCTGCAAGAGCTAATGTTTGCTAACGCTAGTTTGTTAGCTTGGGTTCAGCTGTCAATGCGAATGACTTACGCTCCCCCAGCAGGAGTATCCTGACATCTTGCTTCATGTTTCTCCTCTGGTTGACCAACAGTCACACGCGCTACAGTCCTACACTGACATTTATCGTTCATTTGAATGCCAAATGTCTAGCTAAAATCAAACGTGTGCCTCTCCACAGCACCCAAGGTGAAACCATATCATTCCGGTTCACAGAGGAGACGGTGAAAACACGCCCTCTGCTGGCCGAACACAGGCCCTGCAGCCCACGTGAGCTTCTCGTGTTTTGCCTATAAAATGTTCAACAAAATAAAAATGTTCATGGTGGCATAAAGTCTCATCAGAGATGAAGCTTTATCTCAATAACATAGTAAGCCTAATTTATATTTAATTAGAGTTCCTGGATGGAGCAAGATATGCATCGACAGCGACTGCTTCTGTAATTTATGTGCATTTGATAACTTTAAACTTGTACAGGAGCACAGCTCTTCAGTAAATTACCTTTGTCTACCCAAAATTGTCCCCCATTAACAGCGAAATAATTTGTTAATCCTTTACTGTAACGATATCAAACCAAGGTAAGGAATTATATTTGTAGCTATATTCAAATTTCAGCACTTTTCAAACGACAGAGATGAGATGGATGGATGTCATGTTTTTATGAGTCGTTAATAAACCTTCATTTCCTTAACAGTGAGGTGATTATTCAGAGTAAAACAATCCCTTATAACAACACCATCATGCTCATGATCATGTAATATACGGTTTAATTATCAAAGTGATGCCGCTGCCTGAATCTTAAAGATATAGCCTTGTTAAAACTATTTTTAATAATCTTTACAGCCTGTGAAATCTGAATCAAGAATGAATTGTAATACAAAATGTTAATAGCAGTCATATCCAACATTTTTGGGGTGATTCTCAAAACCTGAATCTCCACCTTTCCTCCTCCAAACCTCCACTTCTGCTTTTGTTGTGGAATCCATTGCACAGGAATATCACCAGGAGTTATGTGTATATGATACAAAAATCTCCGAAGCAAAAACAAGGGAGGAAATGGAGAGGATAATTTGAGCTCTCAATAATGACAGTATCCCAGTTCCAATGTGACAGAAAGACCTTTGTGTCTGTTAGCAAAAATGGAAATCCGAGAAGATTCATGCAAAATGTTCTGAACAGTACATCTGTCCTCCATCATTCTGATCGAAGGACAAGTAAAAGTACACGTCTTTGGCTGCAGCAGTCTCTCCTTTTGTATGTGTGCGTGCACAAACCAGGCATTGTTGGAGTGCTCTTACATTACAGATTGTTATTGCTCATGCTGAGATAACAGCTCATGCTGCAATAACAGCTCATGCTGCTTCTCATTTAAACCCCATCCAATCCCACAGCAGCCAACAAACTGTGATTCTATTTACCACTGAAAAACAGTGGACAGGACAGCAACTGTTATTCTCTGTAAGGAAATCTAAAATAGTCAAAAATGAAAAATGACTGGACAGGCAACAACAAATCTCTTCAACAAATATGTATTCTAAAACCACACACATGAAAAAAAAAAAAACTCCACAAAGCTTCTCTGCAAATTATTACTATTTCTCTACAAATATTCAATGAATAAAAAAAATAAATATAGAACAATCTAATTACATAAAATAAAGATTTAAACCAGGAACCTGTGAACCAGGATCAACAGATGTGAGGCCCTCAGAGGCCCTGCACCTCCCACAGCAGGATCTCATTAAAAGCTACAGTGAAAAGAAGCGTCCCTGACGGAGAGAAGCGACACGTCTGCAGTGAGTCACTGTGCTGCAGGAAGTCCTGGAACCTGCCACTGGTCGACTTGATCAACTTCAACACTCGCTCTGATAAGAAATGAGACATAACAGGGAGAAAATATTCACAAACATGCTCCAAGCTTATAATATTAAAATCTCATTTATTTACTGTAACAATATGGATTTACATCATGAAAAACAAGGGCCGAGTTTACCTTTTGATCCCACAGCTATGAGCTGACTCTTACAGGACAGGCTAAAACATGTGGCCCAGTCGGGCAGGGCAATCTTTTTCATTATCTGTAGTAAAAAAAAAACACACATTGTGTGATTACACGCACATCTGTGGACATTTTGCCAGCAACATTTGCTCTGTACAGGTACAGGAAAAACACTGTGGTAGAGGAGTGAAGCAGTGGGTGCTTGCGGTACCTGTTTTTTAGTCAGGCTGTAGAAGGACAGCTCCTTCTCTACTCCATAGCCAGTGTAGACCACCAGGCTGGGGTCTGCAGGGCAGAAGGCAGCCAGACTGGGAGGTGGGCGGTCACCCTACAGCACAAAAGGGTTACAAAAATATTAGACGTGCAAAGGTTTGACACGGACAAAGCACTTTTTATTTTGCAAATTTCCTAAAGGAGGTTGCAACAATATGCTGAAAAATGTAAAACTAATGCTTTAGATATAATACATTTAGAATAAAAAGGCTTAGAGGTTAAGTATCCGCAAGACTTAAAAAGAGATAAACCGCAGCACTCAACATTTGGAGTGGTATTTCTAGTCGTTATCACTATGTACTACTACTTAAAACACAGAAGGTACCCCAAAATAGGCCGGAGCAGGAAATGTCAGCCAGTCAAGCAGCTCGCATTTGTCCCTCGACCAATCGGCAGCCCACACACTGACGCGTCTGTCAGCACTGGCAGCCAACCACATCTCGTTGCCTTCCAGGCCGAAATGCTTACACTGAGGATTGGAAGAGAAACGGCTTCAGATACGGATGAAAAAATGTCATTATAATGTCAAAAGACAGGAAAGGAAATGTCAGGTAACCTTTTTGTATGAGAAGCAGGCAGAAAGCCCATCAGGAGCACGGTTACTGGAGAAGCCAAGTGTACGTATACGTTGTACGATACATGAAGGGGATTTGTGAAGTGAAGCTGAATTGAAAACATCATTTCAAAACAGAATACATGTAAATCTACTCAGGAAAGTATTCAATGTGTATGAAATAGACAATCAGGCTGCTATTGTTATATTATTCTGCCTGATGTATACAAATATTCAAGTCATTCCTCAACATTTGAAATAGATTCCATGTGGCTTTTTGAGACTCGGCGCCGTTTCTAAATGTGTTGATGGCACTTGGAACAAAAATCCACATTTGTAAGTAATGGCCGATGACATTTTCATATAAATAAATGTCAATGTTTCCATTTCTATATGATTAATAGTGATTATTAAGAACAAACCAAGTCATTTAAGAGTATATATTCGCAGTGACAAGCTTCGGTCAGAGGTGATATGTAGTTGCCAGCAGAAACATCAGTTCCTCGTGCATTTAGAGAAGGAGATTCAAACGTCATGCAGAATCAGTCTCCATGGGGAAGTCGAAAATGTTTCATTGATAAGTGATTGCTGTTAAAGAAAGGCCTTAGCAGTGCACTCCAGGACAATATTTTGTGGTTAATAACAGTAATTGTTGCGGCCGTTCAGGGGCTATTCTAACCTCTCTCATTATACTTCTATTGTGCTGCCATGTTCCGCTCTGTTAAAGCGTCACTCCTTGACTCGATTCAGTGAGCTAACCTGTTCATTCACACACTGGATGGTGGTAATCAGCGCTCCTTTGTGGTCATTGATGACCCGTATAGCCGCTCCATTCACTGGGCTGCTGACGGCTATCAGACCATTCTTCCCCGCTGAAAGGATCACATGACCTGTAGGGGGCCAAAAGGTGTTACGGAGCCGAACCGGATGAAACATAGCTGCTTTAATATAACAGGAAACTTACTGCGAGCACATGGAATTGATTATTTCATCATAAAGTAAGTTGAATGCAGGAGATGCAGGTTATTAAGCTGTTGCTATCCTCTCTCACCGTGAGCAGAGTACTGCATGGCAGTCACAGCCACTTGATGGGGATGCAGCTTCATCTCCATCTCTGAAGATGAAAGCCGGAAGATCCTGAGGGTCCCGTCGCTGTATCCTGCTGCCACACATGCACTCTCCTTACGAGAAGAAGGGCTCCAGCACACACAGCCACAGGCCTGACCCACAGAAAAAAAAACATAGGGGGGGTATTATGTAAGGGGCGAATGCTGTTATGATCAGATCAAGTCAAACATTCTCGTTTCACCACAATATTTAAATCTGCTTGGAGTAGAAGCACTAGGAGACCCCCCCACGCAACTTACTGTCTCAGATGCTTCATCAAAGTCCTTGAGCTTGTACCAGACCTGAGCCACCTATCACTTATATAATAAGTATATTATAATATTAAGCGTATCCTCTCACCTGACTGAGCACCTGAAACTGCACCACCAGCTCGTTGCCAGGGACCGACCACACCCTCACGCTGCCGTCCTCGCTGCAGGTGGCAAAATGTCTCTCGTCAGCGCTAAAAGCCACATCATTCACCTGGACGGCACAGAGGAGCACACACAGAGAATGAATATCAATACTGGTACAATATGCTAATATTAGCAGCACGACCCTCGCACACAGAGTCACATAAGGTCATTTTCATTACTTAAATTTGATCATCTTTATTTCCAGGCGCTAACGTTTCGCAAACTGAGTAAAATATGAAATACTCCTCTTCCTTCGGGATCGCCTTTGATGTGTGATTGACAGGCCATTAATACAGACCAACCATCAACCCATTATGATTATGCAAAACAACACACTTGCCTCCCAGTTATAAGCTGTATGTTCCAGCTCCTGCTGGAGACACAAGATGTGCATGTGGTTACTTTTCACACTGGTACCTTGGTCTTGTGCCCGCTGACCAGCCGGATGCTGCCGCCGTCTGACCAGTTGATGTACCAGAGGGTTCCCGCTGTGGTGCCAACGATGCCCATGTCCATAGTGTTATCAAATGCTGCACTGATCGTAGTTCCGTCCAGCATGATCTCCTGCTCCAACACCACCATGGTCCCACTGAGGAACAGACCGAAAACAAGGAACCCCTTATTAATGACATGGCCACAGGAGGATGAGATGGAACCAAACCGTCATTCTTTGTCTGTTTCACACAATAGACATTAACGCATCGAAAATTTGATAGAAACTGTAATGAAACTACACAGGTGACACTGACTGACTGTGTATGGCACGTAGGCCTTCATCACATAAGAACATTAAAGTATATTAAAGAAACGGAAAGACTCGTAGGAGAATAAACTACATACAGAC